GGGGTGTCTGGTGATCGCTGAATGCTTCGTGTGGTCAGTTCTCATATCTGCTCTTCTGTAACAGATATAGGAGTGCTTTCCACTCCACTCCCTTCACTGTGTTAAGCATTTTAGGGTTCATTTTGTTTGCTTTGCAATGAATCATGCTCTCCAGGAACACCCAACTCATTTATAACTCTATTTCAAGCTATTGTGACAAATGATGTTGAAGTAGATCTAAACCCGAACTGGTTAAAGCTGAACTCCGGCCTTCACTTCAGTCTTGCACAGCTGCGGCTCCTCTCCTGGACTGAAATTGCTTCCTCTGATTTCACTGCACACTGGGAGCTTCTCACAATGTGCATTAGAAGCAAATCAGATATAGACCCAAATGATCAGAAAGCTGTTTGCGTTCAGCAGGAAAGCTGTGTGGTGTCCGATTCCGTACCCGAGTTCAGCCATGCTGGTGCAGGCTGGTTATTACATGAAGGCACTGCCGTAGATACTCACAGTTCCATGAGTATTCACAGAAGACCAGTCCCCATCCAGTTCCATGAGTATTCACGGAAGACCATTCCGCAGGCAGTTCCATGAGTATTCACGGAAGACCATTCCCAGCCAGCTCCATGAGTATTCACGGAAGACCATTCCCCAGGCAGTTCCATGAGTATTCACGGAAGACCATTCCCCAGCCAGTTCCATAAGTATTCACGAAGACCATTCCCAGCCAGCTCCATGAGTATTCACGGAAGACCATTCCCAGCCAGCTCCATGAGTATTCACAGAAGACCATTCCCCAGGCAGTTACATGAGTATTAGACCAGTCCCCATCCAGTTCCATGAGTATTCACGGAAGACCATTCCGCAGGCAGTTCCATGAGTATTCACGGAAGACCATTCCCCAGCCAGTTCCATAAGTATTCACGAAGACCATTCCCAGCCAGCTCCATGAGTATTCACGGAAGACCATTCCCAGCCAGCTCCATGAGTATTCACAGAAGACCATTCCCCAGGCAGTTACATGAGTATTCATGGAAGACATTCCGCAGGCAGTTCCATGAGTATTCACGGAAGACCAGTCCCTATCCAGTTCCATGAGTATTCACGGAAGACATTCCCCAGCCAGTTCCATGAGTATTCACGGAAGACCATTCCCCAGCCAGCTCCATGAGTATTCACGGAAGACCATTCCCCAGCCAGTTCTACGATTATTCGTGGAAGACCAGTCCCCAGCCAATTATTCAATTTACACATCAATGAGGTCCACAATGTGGACACCACGTGCCCACAACGTTTCAGCCAGCCTTTCTCAGCCAGGGTTCCACTGATCTTCTCACACTCAATAATAGACATGGTCTTCTTAGTCATCAGTAATAATGCATTCTCCTTAATGATTAACAATGTAAGGGGGTCCTTTTCTAACTGACCTCAAAAATCCAAGAAGGTGCTTTATTATGGATCACCAACGTAAGGGGACATTTCTCCACCAATGTAAGAGCAAATTAGATTTTTCACTGTCCGGTTTCTTTTATGGCCATTGCGGTTTGTTTTATTTGATGATCATCGCTGGAAATAGATATACAGTGGGGCAAAAAAGTATTTAGTCAGCCACCAATTGTGCAAGTTCTCCCACTTAAAAAGATGAGAGACCTGTAATTGGCATCATAGGTAGACCACCGGCTTTGGTTGTTAAATACACTAGGAAGGCCACATTCTTCACTCTTATTACTCATTCAGTTTACAGCTCGCTTGTTAGGCTAACATACCTTGGAGTTGTATATACATATACATATACATTTTTTTTCCATGGTTCGTCTGTGTTAAAAAGGTTGAGCAAGGCCGGTTTACACTTTCTTTACCTGCTGCAGTTGCTCCTGATCACCACTAGAGGGAGCTGAAGTTAAGACAATAGGACGGCTCACTTATCCACATACTGAGTTGGCCTCTTGTCTTTCCTTTAGCTCCCTCTGGCAGGGCTTGGGAGAAAAACCGTACATGCACAACTTTCCAAGTTCCCATGTCAGAAAACCTCTGAAATGGGTACCTCTTGTAACTGACATTTGATCAGGATGCTGTGAGCAGGAATAAAAAGAATAAGTAGTGTAGGTGTACTTACTCTATCACTTGTTTGTTATAGTAAAACATACCAGAGGACCTCCTGCTTGCCGAGAATAAAAGTCATATGGTATAAGCGGCTTTACAACAACGATAAATCACCAACAGGATCTAACAACAGCAATTGGTAGCCTGCTTCTTAAATGGATATAGTCACGATATGTCGCCAGGAAACGATTTTTTGCAGCTTCAGGTTAAACTAGCGCTGCATCATTATGTTGGTGTGAAAGCATTGCTTCCCTTCAACAATTTGCAGCTAAGCCACCGGGGTGAACGCAGGGCGATAAACATGAAGCGTTGCTCAAACTTGGGCATTGAGCACCATTATTTTTTACTTTTTAATCACTTTTTTTAATTAATTATTTAAATTTTTATTTATTTTTTGATCAATTTTTTTTCACTTAACTTTATTGCTACCACACAGGAGAAAACAATCCCCTGTGTGATAGCAATTGGAGGTGACAGGTTCTCTTTATTGACCCTGTCACCTCCAATACAGGAGTTCTAGCAGAGCGCTGTGCTGTAACTCCTGTGACAGGTGAGAGGGGGAAGAGCACAGATCTCCCCTCTCACTGTGTACACGGAGCGGCAGGGTTAGTTTTAACCCTGCCGCTCTGCTCACTGCATCGGCGGCAGGGACAGGAGAGAGACTCGGCAGCCGGGGAAGGACGGAGTCCCGAAGACCAGCGGAGAGAGGTAGGTGCAAGGGAGGGGACTGCACACATATTACAAGTGATCGCGGCGACATCGCCGCAATCACTTGTAAACGAACGGTCGGATTCCCCACTTACCGCCCGGCACTACATGTTCCGGGCGTCGGGGGACTCCACGGCGCTGCCGCCCCGAGGCCGGGCCTCGTGGGCAATCCGGGCCTGCTTACAGCGGCGTTTCTCAACCTTTTTTTTTTGTCATAAGACCCTTAGGACCCATAGGAGCACAAAACAAAGGGGGTTTATCAAAACTGGAGCAGT